GACATGATGTCGTAGGGTTTCTGTCGATGTGAAGGGGCAGCACAACCGTGGAAGCTCTTACAAAGAAAAACATTTGATTACCTTTTTTTGAAAACATAATTAATTTAACTCTACTTTATGTGCACTGGTATGGTGTTGGGAACTGGAGTTATAGACAACTGTGAGCTGCCATGTGGGTGCTGGGAATTGAACCTGGGTCCTCTGGAGGAGCAGTCAGTGCTCTTAACTGCTGTGCCATCTTGCCCGCCCCTTTAATTACCTTTTAAAGGCAGGCTTTCACCAAGTAGACCTGGCTGGCCTCCAGCTCAGAGAGAGCTGTCTGTGCCTCCCTAGTGCTGGTATTAGAGGTGTCCACTACTGTGCCTGAGTTGGAAATCTTAAATTGAGGGTTTTCACTACTTATTGGGATACTTAGCTTGGCCTACTTAGATGACCTCTCTGTGTTGGGGAGAACACCCTTTGCTACTCCGTGGGGACTCTGCCATGACTGTGGCTGTCATAGGCATAGTGACCATAGGTGTGTACTATAGTGATTTCTTCTCAGGCTGGAGTGCCTACAGCATGAGATCTCAGCATTGCGCAGGCTTGGAAGGGAAACCAACGGCTTTCCTGGTCCTGAGCTGGCAAGAATAAAGGGTGTACATTACTTCCTTCAGGAGACTTCGAAACCATCAGAGCAAGCTTCCTTTGGGGGTCTCAGCACCATTTTCTCCTTCTTCTGATGACCCTCCATGCTACTCTTGCCTGCCAGCCTTGTTTATCTGGTCACTGCTCCTGGAACATTCTTTTCTGTCTTTGTGACTTCATTTTAGCCTCCTTGTGAGTGTTCTCCACCTCCCTAAGTCATTTCCATCTCAGCGCATCCCTTTAGAATCCTGGATAAACCTTTCAGCCCAGTCACGTGGAGAATGTGCATACTATTGGTGTGACAACGGAAATCTTAAAACACAAAAAGAAAGGCTGAGCGTCTCACCCAGTGGTCGTCAAACACCTTACACGTGCAAGGCTCTGGGCTCCACCCCCAGTACCTAAGACTGTGTATTAATCTATCATCTCTCAATCTGTAAAAGAATAAAATGAAAATTAAACAACTGTATTGCTGTGGTTTGAGCCCTGTGTAACACTTAAGTGTTCTGGGTGATGCTATTGCAACTGATTCAGATCTTGCTAAAGCATTGGAACTAATATGTGACTCCTCAGGGGCTGATTTTTGCCAGCGCTGGGGTTTTTCATATAGCAACAGCATGTTCATTAAAGCTGGGAGCTGTGAAACTGTGTTCGACATTGACCAAGTTTCAGTTGGGAACATTGAAATAGAGAATTCTGCGCTGGAGGTGTTCCTTCCTGGTGCAGCGCCTGCTTAGTATGTGCTAAGGCCCTGGTTCAGTCTCTGGCCACACACACACACACACACACACACACACACACACACACCATAAAAACTGATGGTTTAATAGAGATTTAAAAACCCTCTTAGGACATTTAGTCATTGTGTGTGTTATATTTGGGGGGCATGCACTGTTGAGAGCTTATACAGTTTTAATATTCAGATCTTGCTGTGAGACTGAACTTTCTCAACATACACCTCACCTTGCCATTAAAGCTCAGAATAACTTGAAAAAAACAAAACAAAATTCGAATACGGGGAAATGATGGCATCATTAACTGTCAAGTAGCCTTAGAAAAGCTCAGTATGTCTTGACCTGACCTAGCATTTTAAATCTGAGGTTTACTGTTCTGTTTATTGGCGCTATTTTCTTGTTACCTTGAGTGTTATTGCCACCGTTATTTTGTTCCTCCCCAAACTGGCCTTGATGAGAGGAGCTCAGAGATGACAAAGTGTGCTGAGCCTCCGTCTTAGACGCCTGGTGCCTTGGGTTTTGATTTTTTTCTTTAGTTTCCCTCCTTCCTTCCTTCCTTCCTTCCTTCCTTCCTTTCTTCCGTAAGGACATGACTTTTGAGGCACAGGCCCTAAGGTATCTCCAGATTCCTACCACAGGAACAGTTTAAGTATTTAACATGCTTTCCATCAGTGTCTGAGATTGCTTGGGAAATGACCCACCAATACTTAGGCTGGGTGATTAACTACTTAATCTATCCCTTTCATGTTTTAAATGTCTGCCTGATTTGTCATTTTTGAGAAGTTTATGTTGCTTTTGTAAGCAGATAAAGAATAAAGGACCCGTCAGTGAAAGCAAAAGCATTAGCTACCAAAAATGACTGACGATGCCAATGAACTGTTTTACCTTTTTCGATGTGTGTATGTGAGAGACTCCATGTAGTTCTGTGCACTGTTTGTGTTCTTGGTGCCTACAGAAGGCAGAAGAGGGCATTGGATCCCCTGGAGTTGGAGTTGCAGGCAGTTATGAGATGCTGTGGGTGCTGAGAACTGAACTTAGATTCTATACAAGAGCAGCAAGTGCTCTTAACCCATGAGCCTTCTCTCCAGCCCCCAACATTGTTGTTTCATGTATGAAAATAGTGCGGAGGAGAGAAGAAAGAAAAGAAACAGACTGTGGCTTGCCAGTGCAGTTGCGGGAGCCTATGGTGGATGGATTTGGATCCTCTCACGAAAAGGAGGTTGCAGTTTTTAAAATAAGGCTGTACAGAGGCTCCAGTTAAAGACTAGACCCAAGCCTGGTTTGCTCCTTGAGTGCACACAGCCTTCCTTGTGTGTTTTCTCTCCCTCCTTCTACACATTTGTCCAGGACCATCCCTCCCTCCGAGTGCTTTTGGACTACACATCGTGCTGGAAATTTCTCTGGGAGCCTCTTCTTCACGCCTTGATATATTGGACCCTTCTTTGTCACAACTATGAAGTAGCAAGAGCTTGTGGTTCAAGCTTCAGTTTTTGTCTCGTGTTTATACTACTTAAAAACTACTGCTTACTGCTCTCTTTAGTTAAAAACGCTTGCTGGGGAGCTGGAGAGATGGCTCAGAGGTTAAGAACATTGCCTGCTCTTCCAAAGGTCCTGAGTTCAATTCCCAGCAACCACATGGTGGCTCACAACCATCTGTAACGGGGTCTGGTGCCCTCTTCTAGCCTGCAGTCATACACACAGACAGAATATTGTATACAAAATAAATAAATATTAAAAAAAATGCTGCTTTGGGTCTGGTATTTATTATATTAGGCATAGGGGGCGCGTGGCATGATGCTCCTTGCAGGATCATTTGGCTGTTTGCAGCCATCGTGTGTCTCTGCTTGCTTGCTTGCTTGCTCTAAGCTACTTAGCAGGTCAGATGTGGTGGCTTCCTTCGCACAACAGAAAATCCCAGAGAGCTGTCTTCATCTTGACCGGCTCCGGATTTGTGTGGTTTCTGAGCGTGGATTGACACAGCAGTGGCACCCTCTACCATCTCTGTCACCTTTGCTTCTGGGGAGCTGCACCTGCTTTCCTTAGTGCCTGCCTTAGCTCCACCCCATTGCTGGGTAGTGATTCCAGGTCTCTGCTGCCAGTCTCGGTAGCTTCCAGGAAGTCTTCCTTGCCTTCACTTAGCCCTGTACCTCATGCCCAGTGTCGAGATTAACCAGAACATGCCCCTGCCTCCCTCTACCACAGGCAGACTCCTACTCTTCACCCCTTTCTCTTCAGTCCTGATGTCCCATCCTCCGCCAGTTCTTTCTGTTTTCATGTCCCACATTTGGGGCGTAATGTGGTCTCTGTCTGAAATTGTATTGCTTGCTAGTTGGTCCTTCTCAACTCCTTCACTTTTCCCAAGAATTTCCATCAGGTGGAACTCCATCCACTAACTCGGAAATCTTCATTGTATCCTATTACATCCCATCTTGAAACTGGATAAAGGCTTCTCAGCCTGCCTTCCAGCCCAGTCCGTCCCTGCTTTTATTCTGTCACTCCATCTTCTGCCTTCATCTCTTTGCCCATGTTCTTTTCTCCTCATTTTCCAGCTTCTGTTTTACTTACCTCCCCGACCCCATCACTCTGCTAGGCCTTGAACTCCAAGCCTCACCTCAGCTCTCTCCTTCCTTCTCCAGGGTGTGGCGCAAAGGTTGAATTTGTCCCTAAACTACAAGTTAAATCTTCCCTTCCTCTGACTTTACATAGTAGTTTATGGGTGCTGTGGTTATACTGGTGACCAAATGATTGCAAATCCCATTGCTGCTTTCGCCCTACGCTGCAGGCTCCCCGTGGGTAGTACAGGTGATGCTCCTGCCGCTTCAGGGACTGGCTCGTCTCTTAGAACATTGTGTGAGTGGATGTCCATTGGACCGAGGCCAGAGGCATTAGTCCAGTCTCTCATTTAGACAGGATACAATGGAAGCCCTCCTCCATCTCAGCTGAAGAATCAGCAGCTATAGCTTGTCACCGGAATCTCCAGATTCTTGGCGGATCCTGATGAATGTGATGGGCTGACTAATTACCCTTTGGGGGCTAAACGGAGTCTCTTCTCAATTATGGGAAAAAGCTTTATTGCGACACAGCATTGATTTGGCTGGTCCACCAAAGTTCAAGTAGTGCTAACTGTACTTTTGCAGAACAAGTTGTTCTATTCCAGGTCCATACTCTGGTCTCTACTAAAGAATAGAGTATCCACCATGGAAGGACATAAAGGAAACAGTGTGTGCTCAAACCCAGCGCCTTGCTGAGTTCCTGGGGTGACAGTAGGTTTATCACATGGTAAGAATTCGTAGACAGGTTCACTAGATTTGATCTTCAGTTTCATGACATTTGTGTTGGGGTATGTGAGGTACGTCAGGCTTTATGTCACTTAATCCACCTCTAAAGTAATTTGGTATTCTTAATAAAAACAACATGGCCAAGGGTCTTTCAGCTGTGACACCAGCAGGAAGCCAGCCTTGGACCCCTCCCCTTGGGGCTGAAGCAGATGGCTGCTCCCTTGCATGGCCAGGTTCTTTACTCAGCTTGAAGGAAATCGTTCAGGCGTAGCTAAGGTTTAGAGGACAAGGATTGTGAACCCCCCCCCCCCCCCCATGTTAAATCTTACACCGTCTTTTTCTTTTCTCCTTTCCGTTTCAGAGGGACGCATGGTCATCCAGGATATTCCTGCTATCACCAGCAGAGGGCATGCGGAGAACGCACCGGACCTGGTGTCAGACCCCGCCTACTACAGCAGCTTTTACCAGCCATCTCTGTTTCCTTACTACAACAACCTGTACAACTACCCGCAGTACTCGATGGCCCTGTCTGCTGAGTCCTCCTCTGGGGAGGTGGGAAATCCCCTTGGGGGATCTCCTGTGAAGAACAGCCTGCGGAGTCTGCCAGCACCTTACGTGCCCGCGCAGACTGGAAACCAGTGGCAGGTATGACCCAGAGAATGGGGTATGCGAAGCACACATGTATATAAGATGTCTACGCATGCACGCATGTGCCATGCACATGACCCAGAGTTAATGGGATATGCAAAACACACATGCATGTAAAATGCACACACATGCACACATGTGCCATGCACATGCCCAGATAAGCACACATGTAGTCACAGTATGGAAAGCACATTGGTTTTTCTTTCCATCTGTTGATAATGTTATTTAACTCCAGAGTTTGACTGAAGGGACTCGGAAGGGAGTATGCATGCATCTGGGCTCCTTTTCAGTTTTAGCTTTTTTCACATTGTCATTTTGCAGCAGTACCCAGCTGGCCAGCATTAGATGTCTCTGTGGTCCCACCTCCTCCAGCCTTCCCCATTTGGGGGCCGCTTAGACTATATTAGGTGCAGCATCCTGGGTGCAGAATGAAGTCCTCTCTCTGCAAATTTTTACCCTAGGAGAGAAAGGATTATGATGGATGTGTTTGAACGGCTTAAAGGTTTGAAAGGAAATTCCATTGTGTTGCGAAGGCCCAGTAACATACGTGGGTGTTTTTTAGAAATGGATATCAGTATTTCAGAGCACGCGCGCGCACGCGCGCGCGCACGCACACACACACACACACACACTCACACACATATTATTAAAATAGTGTGCAGCCAAGCTTTCAACATTTGGAGCAAAACAGTGTTTTGCCTCATTGAGGAAAGAGCTTTCCCGGTTCTGTTTCTAAGGGTGAAGCCATTTCCATCAGATCATTCATTGTGTTCGCACCAGAAGCACTCCGAGGCTTGGAGTAGCTGAGAGGTGAGACCCACACCATCAGGCCGCAGAAGAGGCTGTGATTCTTCAAGAACTGTGCTCACCATGACCGTGTGAACATGCCCTAGGCTTTCTCAGCAAGGGTTTGATTTCAGTACAGTGTAACATATATCCAGGAGTTAGTGCAAATCTTGGATGCCCTCTTTGCCCCTTATTTTCTTAGCTTTATTGAAGTATAATTGACAAATTGGATGCATTCGTACTGTACAGTGTGGTGTCCTGAAGTGTGTGTACACTGTGCGTTGTTTATCACAGTTGGGTTAATGAAGGCACCGCCTGTGTGTGTGCTTGCATTCACCTGAGGTTCAGTCTGCATTTTTCAGATGTGAAGCATTATTGAATATAACTACCACATTGTGCATTCAACTTCCAGAACTTAAAAACTGAAAGTAAAAGCTTTAATGTATGTCTCTCCACTTCTCTAACCCCAAGTCTCTGGAAGTCAGCATTGCAAATTTCTGTTTCCTAGAGTCAAGGGAGGTTTTGTTTTTTTTTTTTTTGAATGGTCTTTCTAAAACATTATGACCTGACATTTTCCTCTAACCAAGTCTGTTTCATTCATCCCCCCTTTTTTTGAAGTGAAGGAATTATTAATATTCAAGTCATCCCACTTTAGAGATTCTCTTGCTACGCTCAGAGATCTGACTAGCCCCGTGAACTACAGATTTCTCTTAAGTTTTCCGTATGCTTTACATTTTTGTGTGTGCATGCATGCTTGCATGTTTGCATCTGTGTAGTCAGGTACACAGGCACATAGAGTGTGTGTGCGGGCAGAGGCCAGAGGTTGACCTTGGGTGTCTTTCTCAATCACTCCACACCTTATCCAGCGAGCGTGAACTACAGATTTCTCTTAAGTTTTCCGTATGCTTTACATTTTTGTGTGTGCATGCATGCTTGCATGTTTGCATCTGTGTAGTCAGGTACACAGGCACATAGAGTGTGTGTGCGGGCAGAGGCCAGAGGTTGACCTTGGGTGTCTTTCTCAATCACTCCACACCTTATCCAGCGAGGACACGTCTCTCTCTTGAATGCACGTATTTGGCTAGTATTATCAGCCATTTTGCTCTTGGGATTTCCTGTCTCTGCTCTTCTGTGAGGGGGCTATGGAAAGGCCACCATGCCTGCCTGACTTTTTTTTTACATGGGTCTCCAAGATCCGCTCCTCCTGCTTATACAGTCAGCACTTGTATTGTTTCCTCAGCCCCACACTGTATTTTTTGGAGGGAGACTTAAAACTTGTGGGTGTTAGAATTGAGAGGTATTGTGAGGATAATGGGGGTCTGGTGGACCTCCAGATGGACCTCTTCAGACCTTTCTAGCATGGTAGATTTATGGTTTGGAGAAGGTTTTCAGTTGGATTCTGTTGACAGTTCTCTTCCTGTGGGGAGAAAGAAACATCTTAAAAAATTTAAAGAAGCCAGGACCTGGTGATGCACTCCTTTAACCCCAGTGCTCAGGGCAGAGACAGGCAGATCTCCCTGTTCAAGGCTAGCCTGATCTACAGAGCAAGTTCCAGGACAGCTAGGGCTACACAGAGAAACCCTGTCTTGTAAAACAAACAAACAAACAAACAAGATTTAAACAAAGCAGACCTTCTTGCTGGTCCTGCAGAGACCCTGGGATATCAGTTGCTACTGGCCGGTCTGGCTATTCTGTTTCTAGCCTTTGGTAATTGGGTAGTTGGGTGTGTCTGTGAACCTGATAGGTTAATTGATAAAGCCCGGCAGAAAGACAGCTATCTCCATTTGCACCTTTGTCACGTCCTCTAAACCAGCGGGTCTCTTCCTTTTGTCAGAACCCCTGTGACAGCTGTTAGTTCCTGCCTCTCTTTTCTGCCAAGGACCAGCAAAGTCGCGTGTGAGGTCTTAGTTCAACCGGGAGACGGGCCACTCGCCAGGAGCATCTTGCTGGAGCCTGGCAGGTCCCTCCTGTTGTGCTCTAGGTGACACCACCCTTTCCCTCACGCAGAAGGGGGAAGGAATCTGCTGTGAGACGCTTCACTTAGACACACATACAAGCCAACCAGAGTGGGAGGGGAAACTCCTGAATGCTTACTTCCTCTCTAGGTCTCTGGGGACGGCATCCTGGAATTCCAGAGCATGCGCCTCTGTGAACACCACCATGCATGCTGAGAAAGGCTTTAATGGCTTCTGGTCTGTCTCCAGCCTGCAGAGATTTGTGGCCCAATCATAGATTCCTGTCCTGTTCTGAAACAGGAATAACATTTGTGACGCTGGAACAAACTCACGATGAATGGCGGCTTCCGCTGACCAGCAGCTCAATTTCGCTTCTGCATTTAATTGCCTGCAAAAGCTGTTTATTGCCTTGTGCACTCCTCCACGGCAACATTATCTCTTAAATAAACATGTTGTACCTGGTTGACAAGGGAGAGGTGCATATCAAGTGAGCAGAAATAAATATGGGAGGACTCAGAGCCCTGCCTGAGATCTCCTTCAGGCTCGCAGCTGGCGCTCTTTTGTTGGCTCTTTCCAAACTTGTGCCACCAGACGTCTGGGTTCACGTTCCCACCGCAGTCAGGGCGTGGTCAGATGACAGCCTTAGGGGTTGCATTCCTCTGGTGGTTACTTTGGTCTCCATCTGAGTCATCCCGTGGTAATGGTTGTCCACTGACAGCTATGCATCTCACTGGAATTCATGTATGTGTTAAATAAACATACACCGGGGACCGCTGCACACTAGGATTGACTGCCAAATGAAGTAGGTAGAAAAGCACAGCAGGGTAACCGCAGTTAACAATAGTTCATGCATTTTAAAAATAGCGAGAAGAGACATGTTGGCTAGATATGCTGATGACCCTAATATGGTCCTTGCACGTTGTGTCTATATATGGAAAAAACACGAAGAAATGGTGAGAATAGCCTTTATAGATAGCCCTTGGTTTGAACCGAGATGTAGGCAGGAAGGGAAATGAATTCTGGCATATGACACTGGGCATAAAGATGCCTAAAGCGGATGATCCTGGGATGATGCTCCAGCCCTCTCAGCTTGCTGAGGGCCAGAAGACCAGGCTGGTGTTTTAAAAAGCTGACTGTGACTGTTTACCTGCTTCCGTATGTTCTTCACCCCGCATACCAACAACCTGAGCAGGCCCTTGGCTTCACACTAACTCCTTTTCTAGTGTAGCTTAGCTCTGGGACAACCATGTTAACGTATGGTGGAAAGAAGTGAGTTTCCAAGCACAGGCTGTGTGGACATAGCCGGACCCCTACCTTCTCCACCACAGTGCAGTGTCTTTCCCGCAGGAAGTGTGGCTGTGTGAAGGCACATCTTAGATCCACTCTAGTTCCCAGGAAAAGTTAAAATTAATAATCCTTAAATCATTTAATGTGTGTGTTGTCTGCTTTTATTTATTATTATTAATATATTTATATATCAGCCTATTAATATATAACATAAATATACGTTATTTTTAAAATATTTATCAATGTATTGTATATAATATATTAGCATAAAATATTAATATATATATGGATGGAGAAAGATGCAAAGGATCTCTATCTGTGGCCCTGAGTGTCCTAGAACTCTCTATGTAGACCAGTTTGGCCTTTAACGCACAGAGATATGTCTGCCTCTGCCTCCAGGTGCTGGGATTAAAGGAGTACGCCACCAAGCCTGGCTTTTGTTTATGTTTCCAAGGACAGAGTGTCCCTATATAACCCAGGCTGCCCTTGAACTTAGATGTCCACCTCCTGTCTTAGCCTTCTAAGTGTTGGGGTTACAGATATGTAAAAATAGACCTCTCTCTCAGATACTCTCTTTTTTTGTGGGGGAAGAGGAGTACTCTTGAATTTAAAAATGATAATAGCAGGGGGAAGACAGGAGAACGTAAGGCCCTTTTCCTGGGCTGGGAAGGTTGGTCCAACTTCTCGGAGGAGTCTGACCAGGTCGTTTCATCCCAGCCAAGCATCCTTTTTACAGTCTTGCTGTTTATGAGCTGTCTGCCCATCCTGTGGCCCACACGGTCACCAGCAGGTTCGACTTCTCCCACTTTCTTTTCTAGAACCCGTTTCTTTTCCTAGAATCCAGTGGTCATATAGGCGACTTTTCTGTTGCTGTGATAAGACGCCATGTCCAAGGCAACTCAGAAAAGGAAGCGTTTAATTGGCTTATGGATCTAGAGGGCTATAGTCTGTGATGGTAGAGCCGAGGCA